CCTTATGAGGAACGGCTAAGGGAGCTGGGCATATTTAGCCTGGAGGAGGTTAAGGGGTGATATGATAGCCATGTTCAAATATATAAAAGGATGTCACATAGAGGAGGGAGAAAGGTTGTTTTCTGCTGCTCCAGAGAAGCGGACACGGAGCAATGGATCCAAGCTACAAGAAAGAAGATTCCACCTAAACATTAGGAAGAACTTCCTGACAGTAAGAGCTGTTCGACAGTGGAATTTGCTGCCAAGGAGTGTGGTGGAGTCTCCTCCTTTGGAGGTCTTTAAGCAGAGGCTTGACAACCATATGTCAGGAGTGCTCTGATGGTGTTTCCTGCTTGGCAGGGGGTTGGACTCGATGGCCCTTGTGGTCTCTTCCAACTCTATGATTCTATGATTCTAAAATGGAAAGGGGCTGGTTTTGACCAGCAGGGAAACAGAACTTCCTGGGACTCTCAGCTTTCCCCTTTTTAAAAAAGCATCAAGTTACCAGCCCCTAAAGGAGGAGCAAACACTTGGAAGCGGGTGGACTGTAGCTGTGAAATGAGAGCAGAAGGTGCAGGAAAGAGAGCTCAGGCACTCAGGGAACTGGGAAACATTAACAGATTCTGCGAAACGCTGCTCTTTTTAGAGAAATACAGCTTGTGTGCGCTGATTTTTTTGGTAAGCATGGAGAACACACAGACCTGGCTGTTAACTTACAAAATTCTCAACACTAGTTCTCAGGGCACATCTTCTCCCTTGCGACGCTATTGAAACTCGGGGAAAGAGAACAAACACTGAGTTGTGAGGCGTTGTTTTTATAATCTATAAAACACCTAGATTGTAGTAAAAAACACACCAACAGAAGACAAAGGAAAAAGCTCCCAACTACAACATGAGATGTTTCAACTCTCGCTATGTTTTTTGATATTCGGGCTGCGCACGCAAATCTGTGTTTGTGTGGCCTTGGGGTTTTTTTTTATATTTGCACGTGTGCACCTTTAACATTTCTTCCTAACGCATTTACAAAAACAAATGGGATGTTAATCACAGAGTTTTGCAAGGCAAGAAACACTTAACGGAGAAAATCCACCACCAAGCCCGATATTTACAGTGAGACATGCACCTGTGTGCATACAAAAATATGCAATCAAACAGATTGAATTCCATTTGCAGCCTGGAAATAACTCTGTCAGGGGTCTCCATTTTTTTATGCCTTTAGGCACCTCTGGGATTTAGAGATAGGGGGAGCAGTGTTATCATCTAACAGCGGCTCTGGGGCAACGTCGCCATTCAACAAAAGGCTTCCTTGCTCAAAATGAAAATCTCCAAGCCAGAAAAGGACCATCTCCAGCTTGCATGATTACTGAATGAGACACATTTCGTTTTAACAACAGCCATTAAGTTTAAAGGTCCCTTAGCTGCAAACCAACCCTTAAAATCACAGATCCAGCGCCGATCAACACCGCCACTGACAGAGACATTGCTTATAATACAGTGGTTGTTGCGGGGGGAGAGACCCCTATTATAATAATCTGGTTCCATACCTATCCATGTCTCAGATCCCCATTGTTTTGCTATGACAGTGCTGGCAAGCACCGGATCTGTGACTTTTGCGTGTGGGGAACATGGGCAGAGAGGAAGAAAGCACCCAGCTGCAGGTACATATAAAACACACACAGCAAGAGACCAACACCCACATTTAGACTCTGTGCATTTCTGTGGGGCAAAGAGCTAATCCAGTAGAATTAAAACCCATCCTCCTTGCCGCTTTTTATGCAGCTTCCTTTCTGTTGGTACAGGAAGTTGTATACTTCTTCTGCCTCATTATCTTTTTGTATAAATTTTCATAATATGTTTTAAATTTTTGTATTATTACTTTTGGATCACCTATTATTTCCTCTCCTATTTTTATTCTATTTATTTGTCTTGGATTTTGCCTCTTTCTCAGTTGCCACGCCAGGTATTTCCTGGTTTATTGGCAAACTCAAAATAATTTTGTTTCCACATTTCCACATTCCACTCCACTTCCAGTTCTATTTTGGCACATATATTCTGTCTGTAGTAGCCTAATTTCTTTTTTAATTATATCATTATTTGGTTGTTTGATTGCTCTTTTTCCTTATTTCTTCCATTAATTTGGTTTTTTTTCCTTTCACTTATCCTTTTTTATTCTTATGCCTTGTTTTATGAAACATCCCCTGATCACTGCTTTACCAGCATCCCAGAGTGCCCTTACGTCATCAACTTGATTTTTATTCAATTCAAAGTATTCTTTTAATGCATTTTTAGCTAGAGACTGTGTTGATGGCTATGCTCTGTCTTCCTTTTTGTCTTCCCCCTTTCCCCTCCTCCCAATACGCAGACACCTGAAGCAGACATGGGAGCCTTGATTATATCATCCTCCAGATAGCAAGGCCCCCCAAAAGTCCCAAAATGCATTGCCAGGATGGGAACGCATTTTTGGAAATGCCCTGGGTAGATCCTTTGCCTAGCGCCGACCACACATAGGAGCTTTCAATGCTCCCACATGGAAGCATCAATACGTGCTCAGGGAGAGGAAGGATGGATGGGGATGGGCAGAGGGGAGCAGCGGTGATTTCACATTTTTGTATTAGAAAAGGAGCAAAGCTAAAAGAAATGCTCAGTTCCCTTGCTGTCATTGTTCAGGATAGGTACAGTATGTTGCTCCCTGCTTAGCGTTCATTTTATACAGCGCATGCTCCAATGTGGGTCCTCACAATCGAACTCTCTGTTCACGTGGAGACAAGATTTGGCTGCATATTTCAAATCGCTCTGTGGAGTTCTCTGATGATACGTGAGGGTTTATCTATTATTGTAGTTGTTCCACACTCTAAATCACTTATACGATTTCACCGCCGTGTGAGTTCTTTGATGCAAATTCAGGCCGGACCGTCTAGTGAAGGTTTTTCCCACACTCGGGGCATTGATATGGCTTCTCGCACTGTGACTTCTCTGATGCAGATTAAGGCTTGATCTTCTCGTGAAGCCGTTTCCACATTCCAAAGCAGGTATACGGTTTCTGCCCTGTATGAGCTGTCTGGTGAGCTAGAGAGGCCTATCTTCTGCGTGAAGCCCTTTCCACATTCCAAGCATTTGTACGGCTTCTCCCCAGTGTGAGTCCTTCGGTGAAAAGTGAGCCTGCTCTTCTCTTTAAGCTCTTTCCGCATT